AATGTGTTGTTCTTCTCAAGGATGTTATGTTCGTACTCGACGTGACCAAAAATATCATTGGAGGAATGAAAACTTTTGACACCCACTGCACACATCCCCCTGGCGAGGATGGAACGTCGATTTACCTAGTCCTTCTTGGCGCGGCGCGGGACCCAGGTGGAAGAAGGGAGTGCCGACGAAGATGATGACACTTTCCCTTGCAACGTAAAGAAGAGCAGCAAGCATCCTCCCACACTCACGAGCAACGTGATGGCTGTGACGACCTCTCCGTCGTTCAAGTTGCCTACTGGAATGTGCAATTCCAACGGCTGCAACGGGGACTCCAACGACACCCTGCACCGACATCAGTCCTCCCGTCGTTGATGAGACCTACTTCTTTCCGCATACCGGGTCCAGTACATACTGTCTTCAACCACGAGCGCGCTCCATGACTTGCCCGACAGTTCGGGGTGGGACTGCAAGACATGCTTCGAACATGACATGAGGAAGATGGGCGATGGTTCATCGCACCACAATCGTAGATGACGGTGTCTTCTCACAGTGGATGTGCAACGACGGAGCCATGAGGTGCACTGGTCGGTACAGCGTTGCGTTCGATGGGAACTGATATCGAAAATGCACGGGAATTTCGATGGTGGTCGTGGAGTTTTGCAGAGACCTACACGAATGTGCGATCACGACCGACGACCATGGCAGAGAGCCGCAAATAACGTACACGACAAACGATACGACGTGCTGGCTGGACAAGGCGGACGGGCGTTCGATTTCAATGTGCTTGGCAAACGAGACGACCCGGTCGAACGAGTGGAATCGCTCCATGCGCTGCATCACGAGGATATCAAGCATCGCATGCGTGTTGCAGCCTTCGATGCGGGTGACAACGGACGTACCCTGAGCTCGTCCATGTCGGCATACGCCGTTGTGGGAAAGACCTGCGTCACCAGGACCGCACAAGTTGCTGCACTGGTTTTGGTAGGGACGGCTGCTTCCACCGTCACCTGCAGCACTTGATGGAATCCTACCGTCCCCACGTCCCGTCACAACTTATCGTCGCCACCAAAAAATAACTCGGTACGCTTCAACACGCACCTGCGCCGGCCATCCGAGACGATGCTTGACGAACAATACCCACGCCATGCGACTGCACAACGGCCACTTGCTTTGCTGTGGTCACCGCCACGATGGAAGCAGCGCCTGGATGCATCAAAGTTGAAGGTTGAATCCACGAAAACGATGAACCAGGGCTGGCTGAGGGCACTGCTTACCTTGTTTGATTGCCTCGACGACGTGAGATTCTTCGGCTAAAGCCTGTGAAGTGATGCGGACTGCTGTAGGTTCAAGTTTGCTCGTCGAGGACGATGACATAACAACTTCTTGAATGTGCATCGACAAGCTCTACGAAATCAGGTCCCACCGGGATACTGGCGCGCCCTGTGCTGACCTTATCAAGCGAAAAATGGATGGCTCGGGGATGCCACGTCTTGGAATCGCCTCGTTCAATGCCGCCGATCCTACCATCGCGACACGCCATTCAATCAACCGAAGGACGGGACACAACGCGGCAACATCACGCACTTGGCCAATTGACGCTGCACCAACGATTCCGACTGCGGCAAGTGCTGGACGAGCGATGCGAAGAGCGTGGGTGTGGCAATGTGCGAGACTGGCCTCGAGCTCACAAGACAAAACGACGAGGACGAATGGCTGTTGGGACCGCCGACATACGCGGGGACATCGCACGACGCGTTCGCATAAACCATGGTTGATGGAAACGCGATGGGTTCATCGGCAGAGAAGTTGTTGGACAATCCAAATATGCTTGTCAAGAGCACAGACACGTGTCGCTGAATCTCGAGTAGCTCGGACGACGACCCATGGTGGTGGACGCGAACATGCACTCCCGCTGAATCGTGCAGTGTCTTGACCGTGCGGCTGATGAATTCGGTCCAAACTTTCGAATTGGAGCGTCCTGGAAGAGTTACGACGCTCACATCCACTTGGTCCATCGACGGGTGCCACCTTGTCTACACAAACAAGTGATGACGTCTAGGAGGTCGAGGATGCATCGCAATACCTTGTTGGCCAACGAAATGTTGGAGTCGAACACAATTGTCATATCTCCCGTAGATCGTACGCCTTGTCCATCTGCAACCCGAGAATGTGATGAGCGTACACCACGCGGTTCGTGGAGGGGAAGACATCCTACCGATGGTGAGCACATCACCAAGCGTAGACGGCCAGAACACGGCGGAGGACGGATGATCCATCGTTACACTCTCGGCGTTCGGGCATCCCATCAACCCAGCTAGAACACACACAACCGCCCTGCCCATGCTCCATCGGACCATCGTCCAGACTGAGCTCAATGGGGATTTCGTGTTGTCCGGAATGCATGTGCTTTTTTTAAATCAAGGTCAATGCTGTATATATTCGTGACGACAAAATCAATTTTAGTAGTGCTGAGCATTACTACGTAGTATTTGCAGTTCAGCTCTTTCAAATAAAATTCTGCACATTCGTGACGTAGTTTATTAACAATAAATACAATTTCAAATTTAGACTGGACAGCACTTGTGCGTTCATGGCCATCCCGACGGCGCCAAGTGACGGCGGGAATTGATCGCCATGATCGTGAACAAGAAGCCCCTTCAAAATCGCTCCAGTGGTAAGGACATACCAAAAGGCCGCGTGAAAAAGGCTGCATCGCGTCAGGAGTCTCTTCCAGCACTTGGCTCTACGCCGCGAAAACCTGTCTATCCGGCAAGGTCAGCCACGACGTTCATCCCGCCACTTGCCCCTTCCACGTGTGAACCCATGTCGGTACAGCAACCACCGCAAGATATACATGCAGTCGCAACAAGACTGCTTGGCCTTCCGCGCGAAGGCGACCACAGCTGCGGCACTGTCCACATCAAGTTCAATCACTACAATCGGTCGTTCCCCATTTACAACGGTGTGCTGCAGTGGTCCGACGTCGACGCGGAGTACTGTTTCTCTTTTGTCTACCGCGGCGCGTACACGAGGGAGGTGTGTTGCATCTCCAATGCGTCCCCGGTGGATGGAATGCACAGTGCCACCATGCAGCGGGACACGGCGGGCGACCTGTTTATCGGCCTTGTCGTTGGCAACCAGTACGAAGTGTCAGTGGAGGAAGATCCCGTGGCTGGAGTTGGCGCGGAGGGGCTTCGTGTCAACACGAACCCTCTCTTTGCCTCGGGGGCGTCTTCGACTTCTGCAGTCATTTCTGGCAATGCTGCAACGAGGCTGCTCACGCAGGATCTTCGCAACATGCACCCGGACAATCTTGGCAGTGACGAAGCCAAGGAAATCATTGCGAGGAGAGACATCGAGGACGTGCTGTTTGCATGAGGTGAACCGTTTAACCGTTTAATTGCCTCTAAAACTGGTGGCGTGTCGGGTACGGTGGCGGCGTAGTCGGGACTCTGTCTTCGGCAGAGCTGATACGCCGTCGGAGGCGCTTGACGTTGAATACGACGTCGCCTGTAATGGACGATGCCCTTGATGTGTTTGCTTTGGTCGCGCTGGTTGGGAAGAGGAAGGATGGCAGGGCCATGTGCTTGATGGCTCGGGGTTGTCGAATCTTGAATGACGCGATGATCGCAACCACGACTGGCACCGTCGCTCCCATGATTACTTGAAGTTTGTATGGTTTCATAAGTGCGACATTCCAAGAGGGATTCCATACTAAATTGCACGCGCGACTGGTTGAATCGGTGCACGCGTCTGCGATGCACACCGCCGCTTGCTTGTGCCACGCAAGCGAGCGCAGTGTGTTCAATTACAAAGATATGATATTCACATCCCCCTTACCACACGTGGATGGAGCAGACGATGCAGCGTGGGGAGGTGCACAACGTTTCGTTGATGAGGTCAGTGGATCAGTGAAAACATTGAAATAGATGGCGGGTGGACTTCAAAATTTCACGAACCACGCCGACGCGTTAGAGTCTGCGGCGCATTCGAGACGACAACGACATCCCCAGAACGACCAGAGATCCTCGTCCAGGACGCATGCAGCGCGGTGGAAAGGCACGGACGTTTTGACTTGATGGTGGAAGGTAGAGAGAGTTTGCCCACGAGCGGAATTGCATATTTTGAACCTACGATGCTTTATGATTGGTTGAAATATGATGCGGCCGAGCATTTGACGCTCGATGATTGGATCAATTAGGACGCGGAACATGCTCTATCAACGCTAAAGATAGCGTCCAAGATCACGGCGAGCAATATGGCGGCTGGTCATCCATCGAGTTGACGCTCTCGATGGCGGGTTCCCAGTGGGGGGCATTTGGCATCCAAAGCGTCCACACGAGGAGCTCCACAGCGGCGTTGACGTCCCTCCATGTCGCTTGTTATGTTCGTCCAGACGAAGCTGTCACGTCAAGTATCTACCCATGCATGGCACGGCGCGCGAGCGGAGTTTGCGTCGACGATAGCGCCAGGTACTGACCACCTTCGAGTTCCCACGGCAGCGACTCGGTCAACGTCTTGGATCTTCGTCTTGTTCGCCGCGTGTCTTTTGCTCGTGGGTGTAATGGTTGCGTGGAATCATACAAACGCACGACGGCGCCTGACGTGCCGTCGGCGGACGCGCCATGTCCGGACGAGAATCCCCGTGGCCAAATTGGTGGGATACAGCATCTTGCCGCCAGACAGCAGCGACAACCTACCGGCCCACGAAGACTACGTCTTGATTGAGGTGTAACAAGCTGCTTCAGCACATTGACACACACACACTTTGTTATATTCCATTAATAGATCCACCCACTCGATCGCGTCCCGTGAAACCACGAGCGAGTAGTTCAAAGGGTCAGTTCCACGACGGGGTGTTGTGGGGCTGCAGGGGCGGCCTCGCTGTCGGCCGCGGTTGGTGCTGCATCGGGTTGGTTCTCGCCTTCTTCTTCTGAGATGGTCGGTTCCTCTCGGACGGGAGGTTCCGTCACGACCAAGTCCGTGCCACGGTTCTGGCTGTTGCGCGGCTTGCGGTTGGACTGCACGATAGGATACGACGCAATTGCTGCGGCCGCGGCGGTCGTGTCGACAGGGGCTTCAACCTCCAAGTACGGCTTGCCGTTGCGGACGGCCTTGGCTTCTTCCCGGTCAATGATGCGCAATGTGTTGATCACTTCCTCTTTGGAAGCTTTCAACTTGTCGAGGCATTGCGCCACCTTGGCCTCTTCCTTCTTGGCCACCGCGACAGTCTCGTCCACGATGGCACATAGGTCCTTGTCCTTGGACGCGATCGCGCGCTTGACGTTGATGAGTTCGACGACCCATTGCTCCTTGGCATGGACCGCACTGACACCTACAATGAATCGTGGGTCCTGGCATGGACTATGATACGAGCGCACGCACCCTTGTCCTTAATCACGGCATCGACGTCGGTGAAGGCAGGAATTTTGGTCAACATGTCGGCGCTCCAGTCGATTTCGTTGGCTTTCGTCGCCAACAGCGTCATTTCCTTGCGCTCGGCCTTGCTCAACGTGAGCCACTTCTCGACGGCCTTGATGTCGCTGTCGACAGTGACCAAGAGCCAATCGAGCACCTCGCGCACTTCGTTCGGCTCGGTCGACACGTTGGTCATGTACTTGCGAGCAAAGTCGCTGCACGCCTTTTTGTCGTAGAAGTTGCGGGCTTTGACGAGGCGGCGCGCCACGTCGAGTTCGGCGTCGCGCAGCTTGAGCGGGATTTCTCGACTCGCGCGGGTCTTGCGCACTGCGTCAAACGTGACCGGCAGCTTGGCGTGCTCGGACGCAATCGACTTGTAGTTGGAGCTCAGCGCGCGCGCGCGCTGTTCGATGAGGTCGCTTTCAGCCTTGCGGACGTTCGACTCTTTTTGGAGCGAGTTCTTCTCGGTCGCGCTCAACGCGGATTCTTCCGAGTCGATGCGCTCCATAAAGTGCTTGATCGAGTCAACTTCCCCGACCAAGATCGAGTGGGCATGTTCCAGGCTCTCCTCTTCTTCCGCCAAGCGGTTTGTGAGCATCTCGAAGGTCTCGCCGAGCTGGGCGACAAGGCCACGGATCTGCGACGTCATCATCATGTCCTCATCCTTTTCCTGCGGCTTGTCCGAATTGTACACGTCCTCGACGTAGGCCCACACGTCGCGCTTGATTGCCTTTTCTTCGGCGCACGCCTTGGACTTCTCGAGCTCGGCCGTCACAGACGCGGTGTCTGCGTCGTCTTCGGCAAGAAGCTTGCTGCCCTGGACAATGTCGTCTTCGCGCTCCTTCCGAGCAACTTCGAGGCACTTGGCGTCGTGCTTGCCAATGTCGGGTGTGTGCACAGTCACGTGGAGAAACCACGAGTCGGAGCTCTTGAGCATCTCGAGCTTGTGCTCGCCGAGAAGGATGCGCTGCTTCTGGCGCATAATGCGCTCTTCCTGTTCGATCACGCGGTGCGTAAAGTGCTGAACGAGGCGCTGGAGTTCAGATGCTCGCAAAGCTTGCTTCACGAGGCGGTCCGCCTCACGCTTCTTGCGCTTCGAGTGGTCGTGGAGGGCATCGTAGACCCAGTTGCCGGCATCCGTGAGCAGCGACGTCAAGTACGTTTTTTTCTGTTCGCGGCACGTTTCTTCGTCAGCGATGAGTTTCTTTTCCGATTCCAAAAACGCTTGGTACTCGACAATGAGGGTTTCTTCTTTGACCGCGGTCGCGGTCTCTTCGTTCAAGCGGGTAATGAAGCCCGAGATGCGGTGGAGGAGCGACTCGCACACACCGAATTCGGCCGCGAGTTGGCTCTGTTGTGCGTCCAACTCGACTTGGAATGCGCGGCGGCGGGCGCGGACTTCGTTCATGAACGGGTCGCGCTCGTCAACGACGTCACCTTCCATGGGCGTGCGGTAGTTTGACGCCAAGATGTCGTCCGTTTCTTGCTTGTTGATCGCAACGTCCGAATCGAGACGGGTGACGTACTCGGGAGCCATCGCCAAGTTGCTCGCAGCCGCATCCAACGCAGACTTGCACCCGTCCTTGTGTTCGGTGAACACGGTGGTGTCTTCGTCGCGTTCTTCGTTCATCGCGGCGCGCTTGAAAAGCAGGAGGCGGCTCGACTTTTGCTGACGAGTGAGTTGTTCGCTGAGGCATTCGCAGCGTTTCTTGCCACGGGCGATGCGGTCACCGTGTGCCGTCATGCGCTCGGCCGTGTACGCCATCCGTTGGTCTTGGCTCTTTTTCCACTCGAGTTCGTATTCCTTGTCGAGAGCTTCATGGCGCAGCTACAACGATGTCGTGAGATGAATTCAAAAGGGAATCCTCCACAGCACACATTAGCTCACCTTGCGTTGTGCGTACGCCTTGGCGCGGGACTTGATCTCCATGTCGAGCGCCGCAAGGTCCGCCTCGATCGCGTCGACCTTCTTCTGGCGGTGTTCGTGGTACAGCCTGACGTGTTCGTGCTCCTGCTTGTATCGCACGTCCTCGTCGTGGCACATGTCGTCCTCACGCTTCATGTTGGACCGGTCTTGGGCCCAGTTGTCGCGCTCTTTGCTCAATTCGCTCCACTCGTCGTCCAACGCCTGGCCTTCCTTCTCGAGCAACGCCGGTTCTTCGTCCTGCAGTTGCTCGACCTTGGCGTGCAAGTTGGCGAGTTCCTTGGGGATCGCAGCCGTGTTGCCTTCCGCCGTGAACCGGTGGAACACGCCGAAGGCCTTGATGAGCCATTCGTTGGCGATCTGTTTGGACACCGGCGGGTTGTGGTGGTCGCTCCAGTCGGCGCGCTGGCGACTCCACAGCGCCATGTCTTTGTTCCACTCGGTCGTGTCTGTCTGGAACGCGTCCTTGGACTTGACAAACTCGACCTTTTCCTTCTGGCGCACGTCCTCTTCGATGCTGCGGACGTCTTCGTCGGCCTTGGTGTCGTCGTATACAATGTCCACACGCGTCATCTGCGTCTCGAGGCGGTTCTTCTCGCGGTTGTGCCGCGCTAATTGGCTTTCCTTGCGCGCGCACAGCGCTTCGTACCGAGCCTGCGCGTTCGTGCGTCGAGACATTTGGTTCACTTTGCGACCTTCGTACGCCTGCTTTCGCGCTTGCTGCTTGGCCACGCGGGATTCGTTGTCCTTACGGCGCTGCACCAACGTAGCGAGTTTGTGCTCCATCTGGTCTTGTTCCATCTTGAGTTGGAGCCACATGAGCACGTCAGTGTACTCGGGGGCGACCTTCAGCTCGGTGTTCGCACCCGCGTTCTTGAACGCGCGGAACTGTTCGTTCGTCAAGCCGAAAAACGCCTTGAGCGCATCGCACGATCGGTACAACGAGTGGACGAGGCAGCCCTACACATTTAATTTCACATGGTCAGGGCCCCCTTGGGTGGCAACGAGCCCGTACCGACAAAAACACTTGGAGAGACTGGCCCTTCTTCGCCCCACGAGGCACGCGCTTTTCGGGAAAGTTTGGCAGCGCCTTGGACGTGACTTGGTCGCCCAACGCCGTCGCGAGCCACTCGAAGTCGGCGATGCTGCGCTTGCGAGACATGCAGTACTCCTTGGCGGCTTCGATGTCGCTGGCGCGGAGGGTTTCACCAAGGGCCTTGACGTGGGCCGCGTTCGGTTCGAAGTATACGTCCACCTTGTACGTTTCCGTGGCTTCGCCGCCGACGTCAGTCACAGCAATCTTAAAGTCCATCTTGGAGAGGAATTCGAAGCCAGGCAAGGGCTCCACGACACCTTCCGTCTCCAATGAAAAGAACTGGGGAGGTTTTGTCATGCAGTTGTTGCAGTGGCGCACGGGGGTGGCAAAACCGAGCTCCGGGATGGGCTTCAGCCCTTGCGAGCACCCGTTACATACAGAACGGGTGCAGCGCTGGCAGTGGTTGGCACGGCGCCCGATGGCGAATTGCCGGAAGCAAATTTGGCACTCCTTTTGCTCGGCACGGGCGACTTGGGTCGGGTTCTTGGACGCAAAGTCGTTCAGGTTGACGCCGCTATCGACGTTGGACGATTTGATGCGGCTTGTCGCGATGACCGTGGCGGCTGCAAGACGCATGCTTGGAGGAGGCGCCACTCGAACGGAAGCAGGTGGCGCTGCCGCGGGTGCGACGGGCTTGGGTGTGGGTAGTACACGGGTTTGAGCTTGTTCGCGCTGGGAAAAGACATCGGCAGGAGTCTTGATTCCCTTCATTTGCAGCGAGATCGTGCACGATTTGCAGCACCGTTGCGGCTTGTCGGCATACCCGAACGACGACGGGATTGTGCATTTGTTGGCGACACAGTCGCGGCAGTACAATTGACCGCACACACGGCAATGGTGGCGACGAGGTTGGGGAAATCCAAACGTCTTGCCGCAGTCCATGCAGTCGGTGGAAAAGTCATCTGGAAGCCAGAGGCGTTGAAGGTCAGCAATTTGAGCAAGCGAACTGTCGCTAAGAGAATATCCGTCGATGGAATCCCGACGGTCGTCTGTGGTTTTCGCCGCCTTGCGCACTGTTTCCACGACACGCGACGACACAACAGGAGCCGACTTGGGAGGGGAAGGAACACTCGGCGGAGTCGGAGTAGTTGACGACAGGACACGAGTGGGGGCCGGGGTAGACGCCGGCGCGGGTGGGACTTCGACCGCGGCTTCCTCAGGAGCTGCCGGTTCAACGTTGGAAGAGGACGCGGATGCTGCGTCGGGGCGGACGACGGAGGTGCCGCAATAGATACAGAATTGGTCGGTCGCAGCGATACTGCTGCTGCACTTGGCGCAGGACGACTCCATGTATTGCACTCAGGAAGTCTGGTGAATGGCTGAATGACCAAGACACGCACCAGAGGCAACGGGAGAGGACTTGCCCGAGTGACTGCGCCGAAGATTTTCATACAAACTTCAAGTGTAAATCTCGTCGCGGACGCCATGGTGACTTACTGCGCGTATCCGGAACATCCGGATGTGAGTAACGACTCGGCCAATCAGACGACGTGCAAGAGGACTAGCGTAGTAGGAGTACTAGCGCCGGGGCCGTGCGATCGAAGCGACGCACACCGAAATGGTGCTGTGTGGGGTCATCCTGTCGCCATCTCTTCCAGCGTTTGTCAACACTGGACGGGACAACGTGGGTCTTGCTGCAATCGACAGTGCTCGCTGGGCCGGCACGGCCTCATACACCCGACAGTTGCTACTACAACATACTGCTAGTATCCCTTGAAAACGCAGGTCTTGTTACAGTGGCATTACAGAGGAGAAGCCGGTTACACATCTGGTAAAGAAACGAGGCAAAAACGTGGTGTGGAGCGGTAACGAGGTGTGCTCTATGGCATGAGACGTGCTTAAGAGGCATGGCACGGGCGCACCATCTTGTTCCAAGCTCCCTTGCACATTGCCATTGTCGTGTTTTGGCCCGTATGGTCGCCCAGTTCAAACGGCGCTCGTGGAGAAGACAGGTCATGTGTTTGAGTGGCGACATTTTCGAGGGCGGGCTGGTTTCTCCGTGCTCCGTGAGTTACGTGCGGAATCGACAAGACCCACACACACACCCAAGCATTAACAGCGCGCGTTGCAACCTAGGTGCCGTCCCGACGACTTTCCACAGCAATGTTGCGGGTGTGTCATCGGCTTGCTAGTGAGGCCCCCACAGCCTGAAACGAAGAACGGGCTATAGATCATTGACAGAATCATGAATTGTTCTTGGACCATTCCAGGAGCGCAGTTGGCGTTTGTGTAGTGCGCCAGAGCTTCGTCGCAGAGATCTTGTCAGGCGGCGTCGACAGCATTACATTATTCTCGCCCAACTGGGGGCCGCCGAATTCGTTACGGAACTGAAACCGTTTCATGACGGGACCAGTTACATCTCGAACTATCGGCAACGACACAGTCCAGGCATGGGCCCCAAGAAGGACAAGAAGAAGGGAAAAGACAAGAAAGGTGGCGATAGTGGCTCCATCGACAGCGCGTTGACGTTTTTGACTTGTAGGCGCCGATGAAAGCACCGACAACGGCGGGGTCCTGACCCCTGAAGACCAAGTGAAGATGCTCGGGTGTGTGAACCGATCTCTGCAGCTCCAGTTGGCCGACCGCCACGAAATGGCGGTCAAAGCCATGGAAGCCAAGAAGGAATTGCAGGGGCGCGTATTGGAATTGCAGCGCGACTTTGAATCAGGAAAGACCCAAACGCTTGGCATCACGCAAGACATGACCCGTCAATACAAGAGCATGCAAGAAGAGCTCCTGAACCGCATCAACACCCTCGAAAACACCAACACCGAGCTGCGGGATCAACTCGGTACGCTTGCTTTCGCTGAGGTGTCGCGAGGACAGTCTCACGGGTTGTGTAGAACTCGCACGAGTGCACCTGGAAGAAGTCAAGAGAGAAAAGGACAGCGTCATCGGCGGCAAGAACAGCGAGATCCAAGAACTCAAAGCCAAGATGGAGGAAATGGCTGCGGAATTCGGCGATATGTTGAAAGAAACTCTCGACCGCATGCGGGAGCGTATCGAAATCTCCAACACTAGCTACGACAACGAATCGGGGCAGCCCATGATGCGGCGCCTCGAGGAATTCAACCTCAGTGGATCACCGTCCAAGTCGTTGCAACCTGTCAAGTAAAGTCGTCATGAACGTGATCACGCTCTGCTCGTTGCGTTATGAGAACTTGAGTCGTCTGCCGCGTCGACGAAGCTCTGTAGCAGCTCCAGTCTTGGTGTCGATTGCATACTCACAACGAGTGGGTCTCAACCCATTGCAAATATCCCTCACAATCCACACCTTGTGCTACGACTGCCATCCACTGGTACGGGTTGCATGTAGGCATGTCTGTACGCGCTGTGCAGTAGTGTGAGGTTGACATAAAGCATCGGCTTGCGGAAAAGCCTTACTGTCGTGATTATCGCACACCCAGCAGCATCCTGCTGCACAGTAGGAGCGTCACGATGCTCGTTCTTGCCAGGCCGAGTAAACCCAGACTGCAATTTGGAAAGACCAGAGCTGATGGCGAGATGTGTGGGCCAGGGATGTCTATCGGCGCGCGGAGGTCCAGCAACCATCGCCCACGCTTCTCGACACCAGTGCCATCTCGAGGAAATGAGGTACGAAATGGCGCCATTTGATTGGTTAATTTCGGACGTATTGTCCGTGTGATTGGCCAGTTGAATTGGCAACTTATTCGGATTCGGACATACGTTTCAGAAGGAAATATCAATATAACCGGATTGTCGGACTCGGAGGGTTTACATACAACGACACACCAGCAGATCCTTGAACCGGTCGTCGTGCAATGCCAAGAACGATAAACTTGACGCGAAAATTGCACGATCGACCACATTATTTTCGATTATGATTGGCTATAAAGAGCCAGAATATTGACTTTTACCCAATAAAATGGATCCATTCGAAGCGCGACAACTGACTCTCAAATTTGTCGAGTTGTCGAGTTTTTCGTTCGTCGTGCTATCATTCCTCTGGGCGGCGCGATCCGATGAAAGTCCTTCGCAACGCGATCTCGGGGTCGCGACACAGATACACCCAAGACGGCTACGACCTGGACCTGACGTATATCCACGACAGGTGAGGATGCTCTCTTCATCGGTGAATCGATGCCTTGACGCATGCATGCCGTGACAGAGTGCTGGCGATGGGGTACCCCGCCTCTGGGGTCGAAAAAACATACCGCAACGATGTCGCAGACGTATCCGCGTTCTTAAACAAGAAGCATCAAGATAAATACTATATCTACAATCTGAGCGAGCGGTGAGTTGGCGGCAGCTTGGGGCACGTCGACGAATATCTCTTGACCGAGAACTTCGTAGACACTACGACGGCCACAAGTTTGGCGATCGTGTCGACGAATGTGGGTTCCCTGACCACCACCCTCCACCTCTTCAAGTACTCGCATTTCTCCCCCATTTGACATGGCTGATGTTGCTGCCAAGGTGCTCGTGGACATTCTGAACCGAATGCTCGACTGGTACACGCGGGACCCCGACAACGTTGTGGTTGTGCATTGCATGGCCGGGAAAGGCCGCACGGGTGTCGTTATCACTTGCTTCTTGATCGTTATCGGCTTTTTCGAAGAGTACGTCCGATCGTGGCAGTGTCCATATGCACTCGGGCCGTACGTAGCGAGTATGGCATTTCGATCTACCACAAGTCGGACCAGGACTTGCTCGAGTATGTTCAGATGGTGAACGGCATCTTTTGGAAGAAGCGAGGACAAGGAGTGCGGTACCCCAGTCAAGCTCGATATGTCTTTTACTTCATCAAGGTATGTTAAATTGTCCAATCGTAACCATGTGCTAGTTATCTCATGCACCGCGCAGTACTTGTCGCGATTGCCTTATCGACCGGATCGCATGGGGTACCGTCTTCCACCGCTCCCGCGTCCTTCGAAGCTCGTATGCTTGCCGATTCTTATGACGCCCCACCTTCGTCACGGTGCATGCTGGTTGTAGTTTCTCCGGCAGATCGTACTGACGGGCGTGCCGTACGTGGATGCGAGCGGGTGTTCTCCGTTTCTGCTTGTGCGTGTGTCGACGTTGCAAGCGACGGTTGTTCCCGCTCACGTACTCATTAGGTGCACCCTGCGCCATCCGAGCACGTCCCATCCAAAATTTTGTACAACTCGGCGTGGGACACCCCGCAGCTCGAGTCGTATTCGGACCCTCGAGCGATCGTCGTGTTTCGAGTGCGTCGCTCTGGATGCTCTAGTGTGGCACGACGTTGCAAACTGACTTGCCGGGTTGTAGACGGAGTGCATCGTCGAAGGGGATTTTCTCGTGCGGGTGTACCATTCCAACTCGACGGCGGTGTTGGGGAAGAAGGAGAGCCAGCTGTGTCACTTTACTCTGCGCACAGACTTTGTCGTGACGCAACCGATGACGACCCGCAGCCTCTCGTACGTGCTGACCAAGGCCGACATTGACGACGCGAGTGACAACAAGCGGTTCCCCGACCACTTTACGATCGAGTGCGAGTTTGAAGAAGTACACCAGCAACAGTCTCACCCGCAGCATCTTCAAATGCTCCCAAACCCAGACATGGTGTCGCTGCGCCAGCTCATGCCCCACGACGTCCGTGAAAAGGAACAATTCATCAAGCGTGGGTGGCTCATGAAACAAGTGCGTCTCAATCTTCGAGGACGGCTGCCGAGGTTCCTTGACGCGGCGTAGGGCGGATTTGTGCAAAACTGGAAACGACGGTGGTGTGTCGCCAAAGACGGAAAACTCACGTATTACAAGAGCGAAACCAAGCTCCAAGCGAACGGAACGGTCTCGCTGGAAGGCGCAACTGTCGATCGATGGGCTGGTCACGAAAAGGTCATGGGCAAAATCGGCCACCCGTGCCATTTCTTCAAGGTAAACAACTTGGCCAGACCTTTCTTCACCCTCGACGGCGCTGGGGATGGTTGAGCGGCATGAACCTTAAAATGGCCGCACTGCCTAGGTGGAGCCGCCGTCCGGTGGTCAGAAGAAACGCATCTACTACTTTGGCGCCGACACGGAAGTGGACATGATGGATTGGATACGTGTGATCCTAGCTTCGACGGCGCCCCTAAATCGTGGCACACTCCAGCGGTCGCAGAGTGTCTCGGCGAGCGGCATCGGTCGCATGAGTGCATCATATGCCGAAGACAACAATTCGTTTGTGAGCACGACGAGTTCCTGGACGAATCGCAGTCAAGCCACAGCGTCGAGCTCGTGCCGCAACAACAACAATCTGTCGAATCGAAGCTCGGTGCCGACGACAACAAGCAGCACGACGAGCAGCGGCTTCCACACTGGCTCGAGCACGGGCCGTCTCATGGCGCGCCTATCGTTTGATGATCGCGTGACCCGCATGGACTCGAAGAAATTGACCATGGCGGCATCGCCATGTGAACCTGCCGTCGTCTCGACGTACGAGTACTCGACGGAAGAACTCCTATCCGCGGCCGACTTGCAAGATCACTTGAAGGAAACCGGCCAGTTTCTCGCGTTCTGTGCCATGCCGCGCGTGGAAGCCATTCAGCTCGTGCTCTTGCTCGCCCATGACATGTTTCCCAGTCTGTTGGATGCAGTCGACGAAGATAGCGCGCACTTGGTCGACATGGTCGCGGGCCGACAGAGTTTCAAGTAGAGTAGCACAGTCCCAGTGTATTTAACGACAGAAATCGACCACACAACACACAGCATCGTACTGTCTTTGCTCTCCAACGCATGTTTCACCCAGCAGTGCAGCACCGTTGGTTAGCCATGCCGTATCTCCTCTGCGTGTGTGGATCGTGCCATGGTCAAGCCGTCCGCGCAGGCCACTCTTCCGCTGTGACATCAAGTGCGTCGATTCGAACGGTACCAAGACGGATGTGCAAGTCCGACCGTCGGGGCCACGACCGGTAGGTCCCAAGTAGACCAGCCACCACACTCGGAGGATGCGATCGGCGGCGGTTGCACGAAGGTCGTTTCGACGAGCGATCTTTTCCCGTGGAGATATTCCATGCATATTCGACGGCTATAAATGTGGCGTTCAATGGTTTGGTGGCGTTGGACCGTTTCGTGAAATGCACTTGCGGTTTGTATGGTTGTCGAGGAAGAGACCCATGAAACTGGCCGTGCTCGAAGATTTCAGTTCCCCATTTGACGCGGCCCTGTCTCGGCTGTAGAGTGCCCCGCAGCATCGCCATGACGACGGCACCGTGCCCAGACCTAAAGCACCACCCCCTTGCGACCACGATGGACGCACCTCGACCACCGATCCATCAGTCCCACCACCAGCAACACTTCAACGTGCACAACCAACTGCATGGCTCCCCCGACGAAAGCGACGAGTCGAGTTCGGCGTCTCCGTTGAAAGAAGTCAAGCACCGCAAAGTCGGTGTGCCGAAATTCCTCCGGTATCTCTTTCAAATCCTCGAATGCGAAGACCCGCACATCATCTCGTGGTCCGTGGACGGAACATCGATCCAGATCCTGGACATGGTCAGCATTGCGAATGACATCTTGCCCAAGTACTTTAAGCATTCCAACTACGCCAGCTTCCAGCGACAACTCAACTACTTTGGGTTTCGCAAGTGGACCAAATCCCAAACAACGATTTGTACGTTCTCCCACCCAGAGTTTCTCCGCCATCGACCCGATCGCATGTCGCGCATTAAGCGAAAGAACAGACCAGAGCGCATGGGCACTCGACAGACCGGTCCCCCCAAGACCCACGTGTCAAATCCTTCGTTCCCTACACCGTCGACTTGGTCGGACATGTCGACACCAACTTCCATGGCCGGGGCTGTCGAACCGCCCTCTGCACCCCGGCATGCTTCGTTCCCATCCATTGACATCAAGACCATGCCGTCGCCACACATGCTGCCGGCAGGTCTCCATCAAGGGCGGGGGTTTGGCCATTACCAAGACATTCCCCCATTGCACTCGGCGACGATGACACACATGATGGAGCAGGTCAACTTTATGGGTACCACGCCGCTCCACCACTACCGTGGAGCTCCGTTTGACCAGAACAACAGTCGGCAGCATAATCAAGTGCCGCCCCCCGCGGATGCCGCGCCCATGTGGTACTACTACCCAGCGTAGTGAGGTAGGACTGTGTGGTTTGTTTAGTATTTTAAGATTCATCCAAGTGTTTGTAAACGCGCCGTGGCTCCCAGCAAGAGACCGTTGGCGTACGAGGCCCAGCATGAACACCGCCGGACGGCACTCCCGGCATTCCATCATGCCCCTTTTTGGCATGGCTATCCAGGACGACTACAATCCAGCTACAGTCACGTCTGGCATGACAGCGAGTACATCACTTGCTTTTGTTCCCATTTTGATGGGTCCCGCGCCAGCATTTCAATGGCGCTGAAGTCGCCACAACTTGCAAACCATGCGATCAAAACTTCACAAGATGTGCATTGTGTCGCTGTAGTGTCGATGCCGTGGGGGCAGTACTGTGGCAAACACGTCTGCCACCATGGCTACCATGTCGTTGAGAGAATTTCGTTCAGCTCACTTGGTGAGAAAAGACGAGATTGCGAGGGGGTCCTGCTGGCTGCGAAAGTCAATGGAACCAGCGCGGAGGGAGGGCGCTGCTGGTCGGCCATTCGCATTGCAATTGAAGGTGATGGTGGCATGAGGCAAGTGTCTCGCCTCGGGCCGTCGTTGTTGACACCCCAACGCGAAACGAAATGTCGCCATATAAGGTTTCCTCGCACTACATCACGACGACAGTTCTCGCTTTGGCCTCCTTGTGATCGCCGCCTGCGGCTGTCCAGTGCTTGCTTCGACGCCACCACGATCGTCTACGAACGTCCACGTCGGCCTTTGCGCTGCCTTGAGCGTGTGGTACACCGAATGCATGGTCGGTCGATCCGCCGGATTGTCTTGAAAGCACGCAGCGAGGAGGTCTCGGTGCACTGCACTCAGTTCGTCATCCACGGGTAATCGCTGGCCCTCGAGGACGCGCACGGCAGCTTGAAGAGGCGTTAAGTTTGCAAACGGCTTGGATTCCAACAACGTTTCCCACACCAATACGCTACCGCCACACGTCATGATCAATTCATATCATGAACGATGACGACGACAGGAAAAGCACAGTACCCAAATGCATACACGTCCGACTTGGGTGTGAATCCATACGGCGGCTGCAAAGTCTCTGGAGCCATGTACTTGAGGGGGCCGCTGCCGTGTTGTACAAACGCCCCACCAACAGCCCCCACCCGCCGACACATTCCAAAATCGCTCAGGATGCCGCGGCCTTGCGCGTCGACTAGGACGTTCCTACCCTCGTTCGTTATGTAGCCACGAAAGGCCCCACAGAGTTTGCATACCTGGCCGCCAAATCGCGGTGCACAAACCCGCTGTCGTGGATGGTGCACGCGGCCGCAGCAATGTCGGCAAGCAACAAGTTCTTGTCCAGCAACGACGATGCACCAGGCATCAAGTGTGACTCGAGCGAGCCATGGGGCATGTAGGCCGTGACAATACTCAACGGGTACGACAGGTCGCTACAGGCGCCAACGAACGGCACCATGTGGGGATGGTGGCCAAACCGATTTAATACGGCAGCTTCGTGCTGGAACGCTGCTTGAATCGCATCGCCCGACGTCCCGTATTCGCTCGCCCGAATTGTCTTGACGACCACCTACGATGCGTGATCACTCGTCCAGCCCACGCCACCAAGCATGCCAATACGTGGGTACCTCCTGGCCGTTGAACATCGCACGATAGGCATCACCACCCGCGCCAGACCCGATCCATTCTTGTATGTCCAAAGCACTGTATGGAATTTCACGAAATGAGTCTGGCAGCACCTCCATGACGCATTCCAGCGGCTGCACAACGTCGCCGTCATCGACATCGTCGGCCGATACCGCGTCCGGTGCAGTGACGCCATGCACGAGCACGTACGACCGCAACGTACGCACGACGGCGCCCACCACCAATGTTACTTTGAACAATACGTGGCCAGTGTCAGCGCTGCCAACTTGTCGCTGCAGGCGATACGTCAGGCGGTGCAGCTCCCCCGTCCATACCTGCACGCACCACGTCATCACCGGACGCCATTTCAGCACGTACCATGGACAGAGAGGCAGAGAACGGGTGCAACAGGTCAAACCCACACGGCACATCCAGCGTCGCGTGGACTAGAGTGCCATGCCGCACGTTGTCAAGCATCGTCTCACGGGACAACGAGCGATGGCCGGTCGATTCAAGAGCCATGGCATGCATGTCAGCACGTTGTGTGGCGGCGAAGGCCCAGAGATGCAACGAAAATGGCCGCGTTCCACGAATGACTGGAGGGCCGTACATGGCAAAGTGGGCGGGTTCACGAGGGATCGCACTGTGCGAGCCCGATTCGGGCAAGGCGCGGCTCACTGGGGTGCGAGTCATAAGTGCATCGTGATCCATTTGGCCAGGTGATACTGGAGATGGGGATAGCACTGCGTAGGACGAAAGTGGTCGTGGCGCGGTTGGACTCAAGCACTCATACAACGGTGGGGCGGCCGTGGCGACGCGGAGTTGAGACATGACTAGTTTCTCTGGAACTGAAACCAGGCGGCTATCGTCATCTCGAGGACTCTGAGTAGATGAGATGGCCAGAGGTATCGTTGTGAGCCCAGGCAATTTGTTCGAGGGCAACGGTTTGAGTAGGTTTGAGCCGGCCGGCAAGACGGTGGCAGCGGCCTGGCAGGACGTCGTGAGACTCCCCGTTACCACCGGAGACATTGTTTCTGCCAAGCATGTTCGACCAGTCGTGACGCGAGAATACGTAGTCAAGGGATGGTGATGTCGACGGGCATCGGATACCGTCGGATGCTGCCGTAGTGTTGGAGGAATTGGAAATGACAGTGGTGAATGGGGAAAGGTAGATTGAAGGTCGCGGCGAAAGAGCTCGGGGGCTTCAAATATCTTGGCGTAGGCCATGGCAGTCATCTGCGCCAGGACCGTCAGGGCGAGATCGCATGCCCACAGGCACAGCGCAAAGTACGCGAGGATGCCGACGCGAGCGACAAGCGGATGTAGCTGATACTCGTCCAGTTCGGAAGAAAGCACGTCGATGTTGATGTTCAACGCGCTAAGGTACGTGGAATCTAGGACGAACAGGACAAGAGGTAGGCTTGTAAGGAGCCAGCCCACGCATCCCTTCCACACGACAAAGTATGCCACCGACAGAACGACCGACTCGCGAGTCAAATCCCAGTGGGAGACATGAGACAACGACGTTGGGGACACGAGGTTCATGAGGGTGATTTCGTGGGTCCACATGTACGCCACAAGCTTGTACACGACGCGCCGCCTGCGCAGTCTGTTCCAGAACAGGAGAATGAGGCCGCAGGTGAGGACGCTCAGGGCAAAGCTGGCGATAAATCCAATCCACAAACTCACGGCGAAGACCCAGTTGAACACATAGTACACAAACACGCGCCTGTACGACCTCGGATCTCGCGACCCGAGCCATCCATCCATCGCCGACGGAGTAGTCGTGGTCGTGATGGGAGTGTTCATTCTGCAGGTCCCCATGGGAAGGAGAGTGTTGATCACTCTTTACAAAAATGCATACAATTGGTGGCCCAACGCAATCATTCTACATGTGTGATCAGGCAATTGTGGAAAATCTATCGAATTGGGAAATACGCATGGCAGACCCAGCTAGGATTGGTCAAAGTGTTTTTCCCAAATTCTACCTTGAGCTGAAAGGGAGACAAAAGTGGTGCCCGCGTCGCGGCGGGACGACACACCAGAGAGGTACAGTACATCCACGACTCAGAGAACCTTTCGAATCGACGGCGACGTGCCTTGAGTTGTTGCTAACCATGCCATCCTTTCGTAGCGAACCAACACCGAGCGATTAGAGTTGGCTTCGACCTCGTTGATCTGCTCAAGGGTATTTTGAAGCTAGCGATGCTTGATCTTGCCCTTGAAAGCGGCGATGATTCAGCGTCTTGGGGCTGCAGGAAGGCTGTCGTATTTGTCGTATTTGGTGGCAGCTTCTTGACACGGACGTTGGACAGGGGCGTGGTCTCAAACACCAGGTGCGGCGGGGCATTGTCGAGAAGCATCAGGACCTTTCGACCCTGCTCAGCCATTTTGACGTTCAGAGCTTCCAGGTATGAGTTGACAATGTCCGAGTCCACCCTACTCTTCTTACTCGCGTAGTAATCAAACCCAAGCTCCGCCGGCGTTTGACCTCCGCAGCAACGAGATTTTGCTGCTGTGCCGATGAACAAGGGGTCGATTGATTTGGTGCCGGCTGCGTTCGTGGTGAGTGCCACCGTGATTCGTTTCTTTGACTTCTTACCAAGGCTGCTGGCACGAAATTAGCCGGAACTTCCTTTTAAGTACTGTCCTTTTTTCCTATGAAAGAGCTTTACAACCTATTAGCCTCCTTCACTCGATATTGCTAGATCAAGATTTCGCTCATTAGACCTCTAAACCAATGAATGAGCATTAGTAAGTCGGGTCTGTTCAATTATAATTTGACCCACGTCATTGGAAAACATCGAAACCGTTGTTTGGTACTTGGATATTTCGAAAGTGATCGAGTGATTATCAACTGCTGTTTCTACTATTTTTCCTTCTCTGTGATTTGGATTCTTTGATAATCAATTGTCAAAAATGAAGTCATTGAAAAACAGTGCTGCACTTCATTCATCAAAAATACCGCTATTATCACCACTGTCGTAGTACACTTCGTCAAAAGATTCCACCGAAGGAATCAGTGTGGACAAACGCATTTTGCGTTTTTCGCGCGAGGTTGAGGCGAGTTTTGAGCGCCTTGCCTTCATGCTGGCACCAATTTCAAGAATTCGATTCAAGTAACGATTGTACTCATCACCATCCTCTTGCTGCAACGGCATAAATTGAATATGAACATTGGTCAATGCCACGCAGGTCCCAAAGAACATATCGTAATTCTCGCGCTTCCACATGTATGTATCGCTAACAATTGCCCAAAGAGTCTTGAGGCGCCCAAAAACTTTTTCCACGATGACTCGGTCACTTGCAATTTTGTCGTTTTGGACAAGCTCGCTGCTTGAGAGCATACCGCCAGGAGGCTTCTTGGTCGGGGTAATGGCACGAAGTCTCCGTTGCAGCCCTTGGTACCCCTTGTCAGCTAAAAGAGCCCACGAACCAGGGTGTTGTTCCTGATGACGACCATTGTCGTGCATGCTCTCCTCATCTGGACGCTTCGCCAACATGACCAGATGAAACCCTTCATTTTCTTCACATATGGTCAAGTCGGCGATGCTTCCAGGGGCGGCAGAGGTGACGTTGATGGCATAACCATTGGGAAGGACGCTGACTTCAACCTTCAAACCGTACTGGCCATGCTTTTTGCTGAAAAACCGCTTCTTCTCCGCAAACGAGCCAACTGGTGCGTTCGTTTTTTGAAATGTAACGTCCACTGCGTACAATGCCATGGGAAAGTTCTTGAAGCTGTGACCGCACGATCGAAGTTGCGTCATCGTCCACTTGCTTGCCATGTTGTCAATGTATTTTGCCTTGAGGAAGGGATAAAGGCACTCAATAAATCCCGTGACTCGTTTTGAAAATGTTGGCGGAGCTTCCTTGAAAACAGCAGCAGCGATGTCCCATGACCCACAATGCTTGAGTGAAGCCAGGGTCATAAATAGCATGTCTCGTCCTTTGACCCCACACTTTCTTCCAGACCCAACATTCCAGTGTTGACCGACATACCCTTGAAGGTCACCCCAGAGAAGCTGAAACTTGGAAGCAGAAAAGTTTGTGAGTTCGTGCACCACACCTTGTCCACGGGCAAGGATGAACGCATCAAGGACGGGAGCAGGTGAGTCCTCGTCAACGTCGTGGGACGGACGAGTGGGGGCATGGCGACGTCTCTTCTCAGAGCGACGAGCAGCGAGGCTAACGAGGACTCCGACCGCATGATCGATGGTCCTTGCATCATGCGTGGCGGACCCGCGCTGTGAACCTCGAAGAGGTACGGCGGCTGCCGGGGGTGGGGTGGGTACCATTGAGCGAAAAATTTGGAATGGCTGGCATGGCTGGCGTTGCAGTGGTCTTTTCCGTCGTTTTCGCGCCATTCATTTGCGATTCATGCATTGTGTCCTTTCTGGATTTTTCTACGCGATTCATGTCTACAATGGAAAGTTGCCATGCATTTTGAGATGTATTCGCAGCTGATTTGGAATTCGCTGTGTGATTTCCAAATGCCCTTGACAGCTGCTCAATGATGTAATGCTGATTACATTATTCAGTCAATGGTATTGCAGTCAGTTAATAACTGAATGCCATGCAAATCGGAAATCAGCCAATGACT